CCCCTCTTCCTCCCCCTCTTCCTCCTCTTCTTCCTCCTCCTCCTCTTTTCTCTGATCTCACCTTTTGGTATCTCACCAATCAGTCACTTTCCCCCCTCCCGACTTCATCTTTTCTTGTCTTCTGGCCATATTTTACTCATCTCCGCCACTTTTCACCTTTTCTGACGCCCTCACCTTCATGTCTGCCTGTGTGTGTGTGTGTGAGTCTGTGTGTGTGTCTGTGTGTGTGTGTGTGTGTGTGTGTGTGTGTGTGTGTGTGTGTGTGTGTTTAGTCTCTCCACTGTAACCGAAAGCAGCTCAGCTCTTGAGTCGTCAGCGTTCTTTCAGTTCCTCCATAAAAATACCGCCTGCCACAGCAAAAACGCGGCCTGTTGTAGCAACGGCCTCCGTGGTGTCGACCACACCACAACAATCCCCACAAACCCAACACACGGACGCTCTGGACCCGGTTCGTTTTATCTCTTTGTGTGTATTTGTGTTTGGGTGTGAGATGAATGGAAACACCTTCACACAGCAGGTGATCCTCAACCCAACCGAGGACCAAATCTGGGAGTTTTTTGGGGGGGGCAGCTCCTGTTTGGAGATTCAAAATGAGACATCTTCAGAATACCGTCACAGCTCTTGCTACGTGTCTAATTAAAAAAGAAAAATCTGTGCCACAAATCGTAAATAAACAGTGAAAATGAAAATGTTTCCTTCCTCTTAACACTTTGGAAACTGTTTTTCCTGTCACTTTTATTAACAAACGTCTTTAACATGTTTCCTTGTTTGTTAGCTGTCTGTCGGCAGCAGAATAATGCGAGTCAAAACCCCATCGTGTGAACACACCGAACATTAATCCAAAGCTTACTTTAATCTTTGCAAAAACGGCAAAAGTTTTTGTCAATAGTTATTTCCTGAATTTCATTGTTTTTTGGAATGTGATGGACATTTTTCCACATTTTTGGAGCACTTTATTAAATATGAAGATGTGTGACTGTGGAATCCAAAGGACCACAAGGCTTAATTATTATTATTTGCTCTAAAAATATATATTTTTCCACTCTAACTAATCGGCTCAGGTTTCCTTTACTGAAGATAA